AGGCGTCCTGGGTTCCACGCCTGGGTTCCAAGGAACCCAAGGCCTAGGTTCGTTCGAAACCTAGGTTGCCTGGGTTTGTTCAAAGCCCAGAGCCTGGGTTCGAGCGAACCCAGGACGCTTGGGAAACCCAGAGCCTGGGTTCGATCGAACCCAAGAGCAAAAAATTAAAAAAAAAAAAATCTCTTTTTTTTTTTATGTGTATTTGGTTGATTGATGATGATGAAGAAGGCAAGGCAAGATGAGGAACTCGGAACTGGGAAAAATAAAAAAAAAAATTTTTTTCTGTGGATGCTTGTTGAGGAATTGGAGAGCATTGTTGTTCACGTTCGAATGGGTTTAGGGAAGAAAGGGGGAGAAGGGTTCAGGCTTTGCAGGAGGTGGGGCCCACTTTTTTTTCTTGTTTGGTTTTGGGGGAGAATGGAACGTCATGCTGCCCTGTCATCTTTTTTTTCTAGGTGTGCGTTTGAGGTGTCAATCTATTTTTGACATGTCATCATGCTTTTGTTAATCAAGGACACGTCACTGGATTTTTAACGGATTTTTAACGGAGGGACTAAATTGGGGTCAAAATGGTAAACAGTAGGGACCAAATCAGGGATTTTTTGAGTTGATGGACTAAGTCGGGGGGTCTATACGATAGTTGAGGAACCAAAATGGGGGTTTAACCTTTGAAATTTTAAGTGGTCATCAACACCAGCCCATAACTTTGAATCCCCTTAGAGCATGTTTAGTTCAGTTTTCAAGTGCTTCAGCTTTTTGATACTATTTATATTTCATAAATTTAAATTTTCCTTTTAAAAACTTACATTTTTAAACTTTTTGTTAACCTTAAAAAGATCTCAAACTATAAAAACTCAAAAGCTTCAAATCCAAACTTTTCATAAACTTCCTTTCTATTCACTTTTTCCTATGTTCAAAAGCAACTTTTAAATTTTCCTTCCAATAAAAATTTAAACTTATCACTCATCAACAGTACAAAAAAAAGTAAAAACTCTTATAAGCTAACCCAAACATGCTCTTAATTGAATAAAATAAAAGTCCCCAAGCTCTAGCACCCTTTAATCAATCTACCCAACAATTGCTATGTTAAAACCACAACTTTTAATTGGAATTTCAACTTGAATATGATTGAACTGGGTTGAGATTGTAAAAGATAAATTGTAGCTTTGCTTCTTAGGTTTCCAATTCCTTAAGAACCACCTCAGTCCAATATCTGGAGAGAAAGTTATGACTAAAATAACATTATATGCTTAAGTTACCACTAATTGAAGAATTAATTTCCATTTAGTTTGTTCTTTAAACTTCACCTACAAAACCATGAGATTGATGTAAATTTAGGTGAGATTAAGTTATGAAATACACATAAAATTTAATTTTTAAACCAAAAGAGACGTGAACATATATAAAAATTAAACTTATCAACACTTTTTACAATTCATTCAATTTGTTTGACAAAAACCATGGCGAAGGTAACAAAGGAATCAAAGGAAAACTTCATGAAATGGTCTTAACATTGTGATGGACAATATCATTGCCCATAAAACTAGATTTCTTTGACTCTCTTCGTTATGAAACTCCTCTATCTAGTTTTCTCTCTTTGCAAACCACGGTGTGTAGCCCAAAACTAGACCTTTGCTTTGCTAGCTTCAAACTCTCCATTGTTGGTCTTTTATAGCCCTTGTATGCTAAAAATTAGAGAGAGAAAACCAAAGAGAAACAAGAGATAGATGAGTCTTATCTCCATCATTGATCATTCATGTACTTGCTGTAGATTGTGTTGGACAAATTGATTGAATTGTAGGAAGAGGCGTGGAGATGATGAATTATAGAAGGCATGGAGATGAAGAATTACAGCAGCAAAAGAGATGAAAATAGTGGACATTAGGGATTAATTTTAGAAGAAACGGTACCAATTAGAATGTAGTGCTTCAATTTTTATTAGGAGTCAATACCGTTATATACACACTCCCTATATATGTGTGTGTGTAAGTTGGTTTTCTAACAAATTTAAGTTGAAGCACTAAAATGTCCAATCAACAAAAGACGAAAATTGAACGTAACAGTCAGAATTTCATAAACTTTGGTCAAAGGCCAAAAACTCAGAGGGCAAAAACACTTCAGCTACATACGTTGACGGCCGAAGTATAGATTTTTATTCACAAACGAATGCATGTAGAAGCTCGTCTTTAACTGCCAATTAATAAAGCTTGTTGCACAAGCAGCGACACCCGAAACCACGGCATCTGCCACCAGAGAACCTTTCATTCCTGCAAACCAGATAACACTTGTGGCTGTTAAGATGCCCTCCACGGAAATGGTGGCTCTTTGACTTACACATACCGGCTTCAATGAGCCGCACCATCTCATCTACATTTCCACAAACACATAAAGATCATCAGCAAATCAAATCAAGGAAACTAATACTTCTTTTCACACACAAATTTTTCATGTTTCAACAACTAGTGTATCATGACTATCATCTATAACTAGATGTACCAAAAAAGAGATAGACAATCCAAATATATATATATATATACTTAGGGAAGAGAAAGCAATGAGGACAAAGAAGATAGTGAACCATTTCCTTGCCAATGTCTTCTAACTTAGGGCCTGTTTAGATTACCATAAAACTCAAACTACCATCCGTGCAAGATGTGTGCATATTTGTTTCGGCTTTTATAGAGGATTGGGGTGAGTGAGAGGCCGGTGGTAAAAGGCTTTGTTATGAGAGAATTTATGTTCTCGTCTCCCATTCACATTCATCCTGATGCAGTGCGCAGTGACTACCGAGCCACCTTGCCATTATCATTCTGTCATAATCCAGTCCTTGATTGCATACTAGGATAAATTATTGTCCCATTAGGAAGCTCTATCCTTATTTGTTAATTTAATAGAATTCATAGAACGCAATAATAGAAGCTAATAAGATTGCTTGGGATTAGACATGCATAGTTATTCAATTAATGTTGGTTGCATGTAATAGTGAAAGTTTGCATATTAGACTTTTGGAAACCTTAGTAGATTTTATTGATTATTATTAATGCTATTATTATTATTTTGTAAATTAGAGTGTTCAAAAGGTCAGATTTTAATTATTTATTTATTAAAGGGTTAGCTGTGAAATAGTGCTCTCTTCTTGGTCTAAAGTCACTTATACAAATACACTAGAACTAGAAAATTTTGGACAAAATCCACATTATTTGCAATGTCACACAAAATCATAATTATGGTTTTCAGTCATGAATCTAAATGTATTCAATGTACACACTACAATGCACTTGAAATTTGAACAGAAATGTATTATGTAGTTTAGATCCCTGACTGCATAACTTAAATCATTAAATGGGTGGCCAGTTTTCCATATTAAATGTGCATGCGGCTGTCCTATATAGGGTTCATAATTTATAACAATTTGTATTGCAAAACTGAAAACTCAAATCTGAAATACCATTTCCAACATCCAATAAACCTAAAATTAGGAAATCAAATGCCATTTTTCAAAACAAAACCCTCTCACCAGTTTTTAGAATCTGTTCACATGCAATCTCTCTGAAGCCTGGAAAAAAGGAAAAGACAATGTATTAATTTAACCTGTAAACAATATTAGTACACTACATCATTAATATCTGGATCAATAGAGACAAACAGTGTGCGCTGTCTCTTTTTTTTTCCTTTTTTTTTTTTTTCATCTTTCTCATTTGGCTTTAGAGCAGAGGTGCCCTGCTCCCTGCAATGAAATGGTAGAAATTTTGTAGTTTTATCACCCTTAGTAGTTTTGAGATCATGATTATCTAACAAGTTGCTGCCTATTATTAGTATTTGTTAATTCATTCTCTAGGAATCTCTCTTTCTTTATCTGTCTGAATTTTTATTAAACGTAGTATACAATCCAAACAGCACTGAATTGCACAACTTAAAATCATTAACAGTGAACTACTTCTAATTTCTTCAAAAATAAAGCTCAACAGTCATGTGTACTCAAAATCTAATACCAGATAGCAAGGAATTTACCATTGTCAAATTTGCGACTATTGTTGATATCTGCCTGCCAAGAACAAAGAAAATTTTTGGTCCATTGGCTAACTAAAATAATTATACAAGGTGTAGACTGAAAGCTGCAAGTTATTCAAGAAATGATGGAATCTCTTACCTTGGTCTCTGATTCCATAAGTTCACCTTTCCAACCAGTGCAAATGCATGTATTGCTTGATAAGACACATATTGATGTTACGTGAGGAAAACGCCCCAGACAACTTTTACAATTGGGCAAACATATGTCAACCGAAGTACATCCCGCACCAGGTGCTTTAAATTGGCAACGATGAGACCCTAGTCAAACAGGTAGTTTATGCAATCGAATAAATGTCGTGCAGACAAGTTTGTTTGGCTTGAAGGAAAAGCCCTTCAAGGAGTGGAGGGATGGGGAGAGAGAATTTTTGCTTTATCATGAAATTTCCAAAATTCTTCACATAAATAGATAAAGAAATATCAAAACAACAATAGCAAGTAATTAACCAATAAAATTCACACAAGATTCAAGTATAAAACCAAAACTCACTACCGTTCACGTACCCAAAAATCCAAATATTTCTAAACAAAATTTTAATACCCAAAAATCTCTTAAACAAAAGATCTAGAGTCAGATTCCACCAACTTAAAACTAATTTTTAATATATTATAACAAAATCTATAACTGACCCAAAACCCTAACCCAGCCAAAACCTAATTCTTCGCTGTAAACCCCAATTCTGCAATTGACTTGTGAAACAAAGAAATTATGGAGAGACCGCAGATTAAAATCTCACCTTGGGAAGAGATTGTTACGATGTTGTTGGGTAAGATAAACACGAAAAGGTAGATTAGGAGATGCATAATGAAGAGCGATCGAGACATGGTAGGAGATAGAAAAGTTTCAAAAAGTCTAATTTTCACAAGTTGGGCAATTATATAGGCTGTTTAATATTAATTTAATATTTTAACTATAACATCTAAAAAGGAATATTGTTAGGGGACGAGGGCTCCAATTTAGTGTTAGCGAGATCATGATTTTCGATTCGCTAAACGAAATAAGTACCCAGAATTTAATGACACCTAGCATTCTAAGCCCAATGACTACAAACCATATTGTATGGTGCATCCTAGTACGTGGGCTGGGTTTGAATCCCCTCCCCAAAATTGTAACTTATTAAAAAAAAAAAATCTTACAACAATAATAATAATAATAATAAGTCTTTACCAGTTGTGATTTCCATCGACAGGATCCGCTGCTCCGATGAACATCACACTAGATCAGGTAAACGTTGTGGTTGACTTCCCTCTCTCTTTAAATATGGGCATCTTACCTGGTACTCGAAGCCATATCCAGGTTCAATTTCCCTCTCACTTGATCGCAGATGACTTCTCTCTTTAAATATAGACATCTTAGCTGCTACCTGTTTTCTGAAGAGAAATCTTAACTGGATCTACAAAGAAACCTGTTTTCTGAAGAGAAATCTTAACTGGATCTACAAAGAAACCTGTTTTCTGAAGAGAAATCTTAACTGGATCTACAAAGAAAGAAACCTGTTTTCTGAAGAGAAATCTTAACTGGATCTACAAAGAAA